GTGGGGGGGGGGGGGGAGACATACTTTCATTTCACTAACAGGGTTTAATAAGATTTTTAGTTCAGAAATCAAATGAGGTAGTGCTTGATGAAGCCCACGTGGGACGCTCAATGTTAAAAACAATCAGGAAGCGACAAATGCAGTTTTTGGGACACCTGAATAGACATAAGTGTCTTGAACATCTAGTTCTCACTGACAAAACTGAGGGCAAGCGAGGCAGGGGTAGGCCCAGAACAAAATACTAAGAGAACCTAAACAAATGGGTAACACGTAAAGATCAGGGAAACGTAGCTTTTTTTTAGAGCATCCGAGCAAAGGAATGAATGGAGAACCATGTTCGCCGATGTCTGTCACAGATCTGGTGATGCACTTTTCATTAATGGTGGCGTTGGCAATGGATTAGACACACTTTCAGGAAGTCAAGCAGCTGTATAACAAGGAAAGTGTTGGATTGGAACCCACAGGGTAAAAGATCAAGAGGAAGACCACGTGGAACCTGGAGAAGAGTTCCGGGAATGGATGTAAAGAAAAGAGGGAAGACGTGGAGTGACATTAAGCGACTAGCCCAGGATAGGAAAAGGGTGGAAAGTGTTTGTTCATGGCCTATATCCTGATCCAGGGTGAGAAAGGCAATGTTGATGATGATGATGATGCACTTTTCAAACGCCCTTTTAAGTCATTTAGGGTGCTCTTTCAGCAGTTTCATAATTGTGACCTTATAGAACAAATTAAATGTCAAAGGGTATTTTTTCCACAAAAAAACTTACTTACTTTACTTTTATCCGCCCCTTATACCCTTTAGGGTGTCATGGCCGTCTACGAGTTATCAGTCCGTTTCTTTCTTCCTTTGGTATTTTTTTTTAGCAATATATAATCTGCTGTCGGTCACAAAGAAAAACACCCCCCCCCCCCAAAAAAAAATTTTTTTTTAAATAAAAAAAAAAAATGATATTTTGAAAACTGTTATCGATATTCTGTGGGGTCACCGACATGCGTTATCGCTTACAGCAACTGATGATGAAGGAGTTAAGTATAAAGAAGCAGACAAGGGCGTGAGGAAGGTGTGTCTGCTTACCGGGGCAAAATCTGGGAGGAAAAAGTAGAAGTCCATGCCCGTACCTCCAGCATCAATCTGTGGGGGAAGATAAGATGATGGTGGTGGTGATGGTGGTGATGGTGGTGGTGATGGTGGTGGTGAAGGTGGTGGGGGTGATGATGGTGGTGGTGATGATGATGGTGAATGTGGTGGTGGTGGTGATGATGATGGTGGTGATGGTGATGGTGATGGTGGTGGTGATGGTGGTGGTGGTGGTGATGAT